GCTCAGCATAATCTTAATTATAGCAAAACTTCATGCCCCGACAAATGCCTACTCAATGCAATGCTCAGCTACCTGTTAAAAATTCGCCTTTGACGATTTCCACTAACACTTGCAGTAATGTTAACTTACGTTAGAAAGTGTACGATAGAAAGTTCATTACAAATTTTAGCACAATTTTAGCACCGCTTCAAGTGGTTCTCTCCACCTCTTTTCTCGCTTTATTAAAAAGAAGGTCATTTTTGCCTATGAGTATTGAAATTTAAATCTACGTTTTACGTAAGCAGTGTTTTTTATAGGCTGATACTGGCATGCATGTCCAAAAATAATTTAAAAATTTGCATGATTTGACACATAAAAAGAAAAGTTCAATGAAACTTTATCACCACAACCAGCCCAAGGAGATATTCAGGAAGCATGTCAGCGCAAGTAAAAATGAGAATAAAAAAAAAAAAAAAACGAATAAGAACACTATAGTCGGGCAAGATCGACCCTTAAATAGCCTATACCGCATTGTCTAACACAATTCTTATTTTTGTATGAAATTACTATTAAGGTTGAATTTCCATCACCACATATTAAATCTTAGTCTTTTCTGCTCTGCATGAGATTAATTTTCATGAAAATTCTTATTAGGGTAAGATCTAAAAAATAGGCCGACATGGTGTAAAATTGGTACAGTTAATTTTTTCATGTTAAATTACTATTATGATATAATTTTCGTCGTGAGGCATTGAAAAATATACCTTTTTATCGTATGAACTTCAATTTTTGTTATATAAGAGGGGGTTCAAAAATTTCCCCAGCCAGTCCAATATTTTCATACCAATTTAGAATGCCGAAACACTGCTACTTAGCCACTTTTGCCGAGAAATTTTGAAAATTGCAATTATTTCCATACAACGACTTTTCAGAGTATGGCGTTATATCGGGAGTGCTCGAAAAAGTGGGCCGATCCGAACCATTTTCAATAGCGTTCGTTCTTAGGTCAAAACCCATCCTCAACATATCTCAAAAATTGCGACCTGTAGCTTGAACACATATTTACACAGACCGGCATCAGACGGATAGACGAACAGACGGTCTTAGATCAATTCAGATTATGATTTTGAATCGATCTGTATAATAAAAGATAGATTCATCGTGAGCCCTTATCCGTGTTACATAGGTCCTCAGCAACTTAACATACTCTGAACCACAAATAGTGTTACTTATAAAAATGATTCACAATGAAGTAAAAATCTCCAGATTTTTCATTATTTCATTATTTATATGAAATGCAAATAATACTAAAATAATTCATATTATATTGTGAAGATTGGTTCAATCATTATCACTTGAGACACGCAATGCTTTGAGTGTTTACCTAAGATTGAAAGTTCTTGCGTAATACGTAGGAATCATTAGTTATTGATGTGTTAAGTAATGACAGTTGAATTCATATATATGTAAACGATATTATATATTAGTTACGTGAGTTTACAATTTAACGGATATTCTTCCACTTTCTTTCTTTTGATATTTATTGACATGATTGACGTTTTCAATAAACACTCTTAACGAAATTGTTGTGCAAGCTTTCTTATGACAGTTTTCCCCTCCTTTTTTTTTCTATATATAGTGGTTACGTTTAGCCTTGAAAGTGCAAATATATGATACAATGCATCATGATAGACATTTAACGCATGCAAATAAAGAGCTGTTAATTAAACTTATCTCTTTTGACGTAATCCAGGGAAAGAAAGACTTCAGTGGTGCATTAAGTTTAGCATAATAAAAGCATTCATTGTTTAAGTGAAATTATTGCGAATATGGAAATTCAGATTTAACTAGAGTCTGCCAAAGTTTAAATATAATGCATGATAGAGAAAGGGTAGAGAGTAGAACGAGCAGGATTTGCGAATATTTAAAATCATGGCAGATATGCCGTATTTTACCAACTATAAGACACTGGACTATAAGACGCACTCCAAATTTATGAGGTGATTTTTGGGAAAATTTATTTTACTATTACTTTGGATCAAAATATTTATTTATTGTTAACATAACTCGTACAAGCACTATTCAATTTTTCTTCACTCGCGGCCTCGTTAATATCAACGTTCCTATTACGCTCATCTATTGTTGTCACTCCTTTCAGACCTTAACTTTTATAGACGATTTATTGAAAAATTATTTTAATTTTATCTTCGGACCATAAAACGCACCCAAAATTTGAGTCCATTTTTCTATGTAAAAAGATGCAATACGTAAGTCACCCTAACAGCACTCCTTCCTAGGTTTATTAATGCACTCACACTTACGCAATGCTTTGGAAAATTTAATTAGATAGCATTTGCCAACTCTTCAACTATTAATATTTGCTTTGGAAAGACTTGTTATTCACTTTTTAAACTTGACATAGGTCAACTTCACTTACTATAGTAAAATTATAGAATATCAGAGGGGCTTATTTTAGGGATATTTTAGGGATTGAAAAAATCTGCATCTCGCCTGTAGTTGACGCTTTGTAAATTAAAAGTTCGTGCCTTTTTGTTTTACACGTTCTTCCAAAAAGAATTCTTTTTAGCTCATCTTTGCGTTGAGACGATATTATTCTTATTTAAGCTATAAAGCAAAGAATAACTGGAAAGAAGTCGTCCGGTGGCAATTTGTGGATGGGTGTAACATTCTCTACAAAATCCTCTACACAAGACACTACAAACTCCTCTGATACTTTCGTACGCCTTATTGCACATTAAACTGATAATTGTTGGCGACTTAACATAAGTTGCATTTCATAAGCGGAAAAACTTCAGTGTTGCCCAAAGCACATTTATTAAAAACCAATGATGACAAACAATATGCTGGAAGTTTAAGCCCTTTCAATATAATACCGTTAAAGTTTCCCAGTTCATTAGGATACAAAAGCTGGTAGACAAACAAAAACCCCTCTGGAGCCCGTTAAAAGTAACGTGTGAAAAGTGTAGCTGGCTAGTGTGCCCCAATAATAATGTTTACATCAAGCAAATGGCGACAGAATGCCATTGCAAGGAGGAGTGATAGCTTGACGCTTCAGTTTACAGAACTATGAAAACAAAAGCCAAATTGAATACATTAAAATGTAATTAGTATCCTATTATTTTTCAGATCTCATCATCTTTCTTTCCAAACAATAACAATATCAGAAATATGTCCAAAATAAAAAGGAATTTTAAAAAAATTTGTAATTCTCTAAATTTGTAATTTTCTAAAAATCTTTAAGAAAGTACATTGCTTTCCAAAAAACTCTACACGTCCAATAAGAAACACAATTTAACTTTTCAAATCCAATGGGAATTGAGTTTATGTATAAGAATTATGAATAAGAAATTTGCAATAAAATAAATATTAAAGATATAAAATTCTTGTTGATAGTCTATGATGAAATTGTTGTGTACTCTTATAGATAAATATGCACGATAAGTCGTTGACTCATTTAAGTCTTTTTGACACATAAAATTGTAAATTATTTTGTGAGAAAAGAATATCGTTGAAAAGAGTTAAGATTTCTTACACGTAGCCATTGATCATCCCTTGCCCGCGAAAAAAGAAGAGCAGAAAAGACACGATATTAATAAAAAAATTGTATTCTTTTCTGTCAACTTCTCTATTTCTTAACCCTGAACTTGAAGTTGTTGTTGAATTTTCTTCTGTCACCTATCGGCTAATTCATTTTAAAGCACCTCAGTTACATACGCACATATGTATTTATAAACATTATTATGCATCCATACATGTTACATGTTATTATTATTGTTTTTATTATGATTGCTATTGTTTTTGCTGTTATTGTCATTGTACATTTTATACTTACTTCACTTGGAGACATCGATGACATTCTGTTGTTACTGCCAATTAAGTTTTTCTTTTATCAGTAACCCACCAATTGCTGCCGTCGACAATTGCTTAAAAATTGGCAATTTACGCCAATATCGCAATTGACTATTTGATGCCTTTTTCTTATTGGAGTTTGTGAAAATTGATAAATTAATAAATTTATTTATAATACACTAAAGATTTTTACTATTGACATGATTTGTTTTGAAAATTTTTCAATTTTTTTATTGATCTTACTCTTTGCACTATTTTTCTTATTTAAACAGAGCTACCAGCACTTCATTACGTAAAAAAGAGAGTTACCGTATCGATAAAGTTGTAATCTTATACTTGAGCAGTATTTTAGTACGAACAGATTGCATTTAAAATTTTAATATATTTAGAAACTTCAAATTGAAAAGCATTTGCATTTTATCCGAGTTAACGTGCAACTAAAGCTTTGAAGCATGGAAGGCATTTAAATTTATGCAGTTCTTTTAGTTAGCCTTCATTTAAAAAAATGAGTAGGAAAATCACTCTAAAAGTCTTCTCGCTAGCTTTAGTTAAAAGTATTAACAAAAACTGACTATTTCTTCCCTCTTACTGCTATTATTTAAAAACTTCGATTAGAGTACAAAAATCACTTCTTACCAAAGTAAATGGTGCCTTAAATTGGCCAAATTTGATAAATCTGTCCCGCGACGGCTACCAAAAGTAACCATAATTAAAAAAGAAGAAATAACTCAAATGTCCTTCAATCTACAGGTGAGTGTTGAGTAGCTTAAGTGTATAAACAATTGAATGCCATATCACACATATGTAGGCAGTACTTTTCCACAAACTATACATTTTATTGAATACCTCTTTCTTCCGCTTCGGGCTACAGATGGCCATTAAAAATGCCGCGCAATCTGAGAATAACTATTTCCATTTTTCGGAATTAATTTATCAAATTTTGCCTTTTTAAGTTTGGTTTGTGCAAGATCTCTAAGAATAAGTCTGACGCAAAGAATCTTTTAATTCTCAACTTTTGCAAGTGGATGGCCACTTCTTACGGAGAAGCCATGAAGGCTTCAGTTAATTGCCAAGACTGCTAAAGAATATTTATTTCATGAAGCAACGGTGTAATTTTTTTTTTTAATGAATTATTAATGCTATAATCCACTGTGCACTTAATGATAACAAAGAGGTTTTTTTGATAAGAATTAGCGAAATAAGCAAACAAGTTATCAGTATGGAGTGAATTTATTTATAAATAAACCAAAAATGCACTTGGGCGTTATAGGATGTGGAGTAGTCGGCTTAACTACCGCTTTGGAGTTACAGGAAACATTTCCAAATGCCAAAATAACTATATTAGCCGATCGTTTTAATGAAAATACTACCAGCTATGTGGCTGCCGGTATTTTTCGTCCGGGCACCAGCTTTATGGGTCCAAGTGAAGAAATCACAAAGTAAAATCAATGCAACAATTGTGTACAAAGTTAATAAATTTTTTTCGATTAATTTATTTTTTACTAGACAGTGGATAGCCGACGCATTTCATTATTGGGATGGCATAAGACGTTCAGCAGAAGCAGCTTTGGCTGGTGTATGTCAATTGTCGGGATATATATTCTCTAGCACCTCTCCAACAATAGTGAGGGTAAATTAAAACAAAGAAAATCGACGTCCATCTGGCTATTGATATTGTAATTTTAGAATCATTTTATAGAGCACCTATTACCAGTTTATCGTCGTGCCACAGAAGATGAATTGAAATTGTGCCAAGGCGACTGGAAATATGGGTCGTTTTTTACTACTTGTGTAACAGAAAGTCGTTTGTTTCTACCATATGCAGCCAAAAAGTAAATAATTTTTTTGCATTTCTTTACTTTTTTGTAATCTCATTTTGGTTTTAAGATTTACTAATGCTGGCGGCGTTATTACTTATCATCATTTGAATGCTTTAACTCAGTTATCGGATTCTTATGATGCTGTGTTCAATTGTTCAGGCTTTGGTGCTAAAGAGTTGTGTATAGACCATCACTTAGTACCGATAAGGGGACAAGTTATCAAGGTGCGTGCTCCTTGGATTAAAATGGCTTTTTACGGTGACTATGATACTTATATTATTCCCGGTTTTGAAGCTGTTACGTTAGGTGGATGCCGTCAATTTGACAGTTACAATACTGAAATTTGTCCTTACGATTCTATGGCTATAAAAAAGCGGTGCTACAACATGCTTCCGAGCTTAAAAAAAGCTAAAGTAATACGTGAAATGGTAGGTTTGCGTCCACACCGTGCGATAGTGCGAGTAGAAGCCGAATTTTTGACTAAAGAAAATGGTAAAAAGCTTAAAATTGTACATAATTATGGCCATGGAGGTTACGGCGTGACGACTGCTCCCGGCACCGCCAAGTACGCAGTCAAATTAATGAGGGATCTTTTCACCTGCAACAGTAAACTATAATATCATTTTGAAATATTTAAATATAATATTACATTTTTTCACAAGTGCGTCTAAAAAGCGCAGCTATTTAAATAAATTGTGCCTCAAAAAGGTTAATTAACAATATTTGAAATAGAACGTTATACGCTTTCGTAGCAGTTCATAAATAATTGCAAAAATGAATATTTTTTGCCTATTTCCCGATATAATTTGAGAATTTACAAATGGAAGAAAACATAGAGAAGAAAAGAAGCCTTAATTTTGAAACTCATACTTGGACTAATGGATCTAATTAACGGCATAAATAACGCCATACATTAAAAATCTCGTCAATATATATTTTGAATATATTTGTCCATCATTTATAAATCCCAAGTCAAACTCCTGTGGTCAATTGTTATTTAAATTAGCTAAATCTGGTACCATATACCATAAAATTCTTCTCACGGTTTTCCACACCACCTTTGAGGTACCGTGCCAGGTGCGTTGCCAATTGTTTTAAATGGCTGGCTCCCCTTTAGGCCTACACCATTATATACATATATACATATTTTACAATTATACTAATTATAGTAATTAAATATTTGCATCATGCATTGCATTAACAAACATTATATAATAATAATAATAATATATGCCTCATGCATTCCATTAACAAAGATTACATCCGGCACTGCGGCCGCTGTTCCCTCTTGGACTGCGGGCTCTTCAGGCTGGTCTGCTTGGATTTCATGCTGTTCTGCTTCGTGCTTTCGTCGTTTTCTGTGTGGGGTTGATTGTTGTTCGCTATATATTGTATGTGTGGGGATTGATTGTTGCTCGCTATATATTGAATGCGTGGCGCTTGATTGTTGTTCGCTATATATTGTATCTGGAGTAGGGTTTTGCTGCTGCCATGTTTGCAACGCCTGCACTGACCTCGCGGATGTCGAAGGTCCCCCGTCGTAAAAGTAATCTACTACATTTTCACTATTACTAACAATATTTTCGTGGCTCTCACTACCAACAGTAGTCAGTTCCCCCCTCGTTTCTTCAGAATCCCTTTCAATTATAATTTTCAATTTACCGTCTCTTATTAGTTGATTTGTCAGTCTGTCTGCTGCGTGACGCAGCTTCAACTCTAACGCGTACCATAGAAAAGAGCACAGTCCTGGCCGTGCGGACCCCTTCGTTTTGTCTAACTTCCTAAGTTTCGTTTTAACTGCGTTAAATTTGTATTGGACGTCCTTTATGATAACAGGACGTCCAATTTTGTTTGTGAGGTCGGCAGCTAACTGCCTACCTTCTACGCTCCAATTGACCTGTCTGCTACCAATCCCATAAATTCCGATATTTAAAAAGTTGTGTGCTGAAAATGTCATTCGGTATGAAAGCCATGAATATATAATAAGCAAATATGTATATAAATAAATGTAAATATATTATTACTACAACAATAAACTAAAAAAATAAAACTATAATAATAATAACAATAATAATAATAATAATATTAATAAAAATAACCTGAAAAAATAATTATATTAAATAATCTGAAAAAATAATAATATTAAATAATCTGAGAGCCGATAGCCTGTGTTGCTAGTGCTCAATGTCTTTTTTTTAGTCTAAGAATTCAATTCATTAGAAATAATCTGAAAAGAAAATAATATTAAATAATCTGAAAAGAAAATAAATAAATGATAATAATACATAAATAAATGACACTAAATAATTGATAATAAAAATAAATAATGTTATCGCCTTGTCTGCCATGTCTTTAAATTTTCTTTTTATTTTCATTTAATTATTAAGCACTGCTTTAAAATGAACACATCAGAGTTATCATCAACCTCTGAAGGTTCCCTTTAAAGCAAACGATATTAATATATCCATAAAAAACGAATCACCTAAAAATATACATATATAAAAATTGTGTAACATTTAAAAAAAAAGTCTAATAAGCCAAAGTAAAAAAACAAAACCGACAAACAATTTCTTCGAAAATTATTAATGACTGAGACATACAAAAAAGGGAGACAAAATCTCAAAGCAAAAAAAAAACAAAATTAGCAAGTTAATATAAAATAAAAAATGTAAAACACGAAAAAGATCAATAAAACAATTTTTGCATTCCCTCTCATCTGATTATTACCCATGCGCATCGACGTGCGTGGTTAGATTTGATCAGTTCTTTTAACTTGTTAAATTAAATCTCTTTATCGTTTTTTTCGAACAACTCTAAGTTTGTACAATCTTCTTTGGAAAAGCTTCAGATCTTAATTACGACGATATGCAATTACGATTGACTAAAAGTCTTTTCGTTCCTGAAACAAGCTGTAAAAAATAAAGGGTGTGAAGATAAATTCAAATTTAACTAGTAAAGACACCTACCATTTCTGTTAACATACCTCTGTTAACGACTTAACAGAGCTCATGTTAAATAATTACAATTGAGATATAGTTGGTTTGAAAGCCTAATCCGTCCATATTAAAAAAAAGAAAATATTTTTGTGGGCATTTCATGAATCAATATAAAACTACCTTTCAAGCAAACTAAACAAATTCAAATTCTGCTTATGGAAACTATTTTTAACGGTATTTGAAATTTGGTATGTTAGCGAAAACTGCATATGAAAAAACACCCAAATTTGACACTCTGGTGCGGTCAAACTAGAAAATGTCGCCTATATTCACCTATATCACGTGAATCTATATGAAAATACCTATCAATTAAGCAAAAAAAATTCACACTTTGCTTTCAGGAACTATTTTTGCTAATTTTTTGAAATTTGCTATGTTACCATAACATAGCTATGAGAGAACACCCAAATTTGACACTCTGATGCGGCCAAACTAGAAAATGTCGCCTATATTCACCTATATCACGTGAATCTATATAAAAATACCTATCAATTAAGCAAAAAAAATTCACACTTTGCTTTCAGGAACTATTTTTGCCAATTTTTTGAAATTTGCTATGTTACCATAACATAGCTATGGAAGAACACCCAAATTTGACACACTGGTGCGGCCAAACTAGAAAATGTCGCCTATATTCACCTATATCACGTGAATCTATATGAAAATATCTATCGATTAAGCAAAAAAAATTCACCCTTTGCTTTCAGGAACTATTTTTGCCGATTTTTTGAAATTTGCTATGTTACCATAACATAGCTATGAGAGAACACCCAAATTTGACACTCTGGTGCGGCCAAACTAGAAAATGTCGCCTATATTCACCTATATCATATGAATCTATATAAAAAACGCCTGTCCGATGAGCAAAAAAATTCAAACTTTTCTTTCGGGAACTGTTTTGAACGATCTTTTGCAATTTGATATGTTAACGAAAAATGGTAAAATGTGGTATAGTATAATGTATTTTGTACTAGAAATCATTGTACTACAGTACAAAATTTTTGTACTACAGTATAGTGTATTTTATACTGAAAATCATTGTACTACAGTATAGTGCATTTTGTACTAGAAATCATTGTACTACAGTACAAAGGTTTTGCACTACATAGAGCATTTTGTACTGAAAATCATCGTACTACAGTATAGTGTATTTTGTACTAGAAATCATTGTACTACAGTATAGTGTATCTTGCACAAGAAATCATTGC